AATCTGAGCTGTGTTGATTTCAGGAGCTCATCCTGCAGCTCTTACTTTTCTGCTGCAAGAGCCCGCAACTTGAAAAAGACTGAGTACCCTTGATTCAAACTGTAAACTTCTTGAGGGTACAAGGTATTGTTGCTTCTTCATTTTTTTAAAAAAACCTTCAAAAATACAGGCTCTACCTTAACATAAATGTGGGTAGATGATACAGCCATGACTTCGCAGCTTCCATATTGTTTTCCCATGCAATTTCAACGGAGAGGAGCAAAGCAGGCAGGACTGCCATTTGGAGGGACCTTGGCAAGTCAGAGAAATGGGCTGACAGAAACTCTGACTAGAAAGAAGAAAAAGAATTTCTCACAATGGGGTGGCCTGGTGTGGGACCAGGAGGCCAGAGGAGATAGGGAATCAAAATTTGACTAGATGGGACCCTGAACAGCCTGCTCTGAGTTTGAAGTTGGCCCTGCTTGGAGCAGGAGGATAAATACAGACCTACAGGTGTCCCTTTGAGCATTATTCTAGGATTTTGAGGCACCAAAACCTTTATAAATCAAGAGGAAATACCATGTGATGACCGGTAGGAATACTTGTCCAAATGTCAGCGAAAGAGGCAGCTCAGAGGAGTTGAGGGCAGATGTAGATTAAGCTGTAATGCCTGTGACTTAGGGAGAAGCACAGGCACAACCAGATTTGTTTTCTTCAAAGTGAAGGGTTTTGCTTTAAAAAAATATAAAATAACATAAAAACAGCCACTTACCTTAATATGTTCCTTAACAGTATCTGAAAAGCCACCAGATTCAAACAACTTTCCCCAATAGCTATGATTCTTTTGAGGGCATATTTTTCTTGTCAATAAACATGTTTTTCATCATTCATTGAAGCTTCTAATCCTCTTTTTCTGCCAGGACATGCTTAAAGCATTTGATAACTACAAGACGGTGGTGCTTTCTGTTAACCTGAAGAGCAAAGAATTCCGGAAAGCGGATAGCACAGAGTTCAAAGAGCTTCAGAACAGGCTTCGGAAGGTGAACTTGCGTTTGGAGAAAGAAACTCATGCATTAAACAACTGGAGGAAAGGTTTACAGCAAGCCCTGCTGCATTCTCAGGTGCTTACCACATGCCAGCTTTTAAGGGAAAACTCCTCTTTAGGGTGGTACTAAGGGGCAGAGAAGGGAAGAGGGCAGAGGGGTAATTTCTGTACATCAGTGGAATGGTTGCTCAGAATCCAAGATGCTTCATTTTCTTATAAACTTGATTCCATTGGGTTTAAAGAGTTTGGTAAAATACCTTTGAAGTGGATAATACTCTTTTATTACATAGGTGGAATAGTTTAACTAGGTTGCTGTAACCTCACTAATCATGAATTTGTTGGTTGCTCTCTCTAGCCTGGGCTGGTCATTTTGTTTATAGACAAAGCCAGGTGAAAGCACTGCAAAAGTGGTTTTTCTCTTATGTGCAACTCTTTTGTTTCTCTAGGACTTCCATGATCAGAGCCAAAAACTAATCCTGTGGTTAGCAAGTGCTGATAGCCGAAGGAATAAAGCGCAAATCACAAATCCAAATGCTGACCTCAGTACGATACTGGAATGCCAAAAGGATCTAAAGGTAAGTGTAGTCTTAACTACAGCACCTCAGCTCTTCCAGTGAGTCAGTAGCTCTCATCACAGAATGAAGAGCAATATGTTTATTTCTCAAGATGTCTGCAGCCTGTCCTTGAACCTGCTGTATTTAGGCACAGGGCTGGTTTCTGAAATGGACTGGGATATTGACTGTATGAGGCATTTTTTCCATAATTACACATCATAATTAAGTTCCTTATGAACAGTCTTTATGCTGGAGTAAGACTTCCAATTTTCAAGATATAATATCTTTTCCATATGGATTAGTTACTGCTAGAATGATTTCTAAATGTTAGTTCAAGCAGGTACAACCAGTCTCTTCAAGAGAACTTCATTTTGTATGTAGCTGTAATAGACATTCCTAGGTATTGCAGATTCTCAGGCAGGTTGAGTTGTTCTTTAAAGCCTACCAGAGTTCCTCCTTTTCTGAGACCGTCCTTAAAGTTGAGAGTAACAGTCTGTTGCACTGGTTTTTGTTTGTTTGTTCTAAGCAACTGGAGAAAGAGGTGCTGGAAAAGCAGCTCGATATAAACTCACTTCAAGAACTCACTGCTTACCTGCTGCTTAAATCAGATGGTGGTCACATTGAAGCTGATGAGAAGGTCCATGCAATTGGATGGAAATTGAAACAGCTTATTGAACAAGTTTCACATGACTTAAAAACAGTACAAAGAAATCTGGTGAGTTAAGAGTTTAAATGGATCTTTCTCCTTGAAGAGTAATAACATACTAAGAGTAAAGGTATTTATAAAAGACTGACTTAAAATTTAAGTACTTTCACTTTCATAAGCTGGAAAAAGAACAATTAAGTCTGGCTATAGGAAAAACTTCAACACCATGAGGCCAGTACAGTATTGAAACAGATTGCCCAGAGAGGTTGTGCAGTCGCCATCCTTGAGGGGTTTGTAAAGCAGACAGGATAAAGCCCTGAGTAAGGTTTTCGGTCCGGTCTCATGGCTGACCTTGCTTTGAGCAGGAGGTTGGACTAGGTGAACTTCCTGAGGTCCCTTCCAACCCGAATTATCCTATGATCCATACTAAGTATCAGGCTAGGAGTGTGTAATGAATACAGAGGAGTCAAAATTTCATAGCAACACATTGCTTATCCAGAGAGCTGATAAAAATATTTTCAAGTTAATACCTGTACGCCCCTGTTCCATCGTAATTCCTTCAGGTTGTGCATAGTAAATCATTTCTTTATGCTGGAGAACCAGAGCATCTGTTTACCACTAGGTATGCACATCTAAAGAGGAAATGGGCTGTGCACGTACAGAAAGGCAATGAAAGATGGCCCTTTGCACTTCATCTGTTGTGAGTTTTGAACATGCATATTAAAGAGGAAGGTGTGCTTCCCTTTTAGGATAGAAGAGCATT